CCACGACGGACGTGAACCTTGTGCCGAGAAAGTAATTTGCCCTCCAGTAGAGCCGCATCGGATGCCCTATCATAAATTCACGCAGCTCTCCAGACTGCCAGGTAGTTTGGTTAAGTAACTTGATATAGACCTGTCCATGCTTACAGAGTTGCCAGTCAGTTCCCATTTGATCCTTCTCTGCCTTAGATTCATCTCGCTTAAGTTCTACACGTAGTCTCAAGTCAGGGAATAGGTCTAGTCATGTCCATTAAACTCCGTCCGATCATCAGTTCGCCGGAGCCCTTCTAAGTAGTTTCGTCTGGTGTGGTTCGGTAGCCAAGAAGGAATTATTCCGATTTTGTCGGCAGCGAAGACGGGGCTTGTTTCCATAACGCGCTGCTAAGTGTCTATACTGGTGCTTCAGATAATTCGTTTGAAGCTGGATGGTAAAGTACTGATTTCATATGACGTATACCATTGTTTTTACAAGCTTGAAATTATTGGCTGTTAACTGCTGCACTGTTGCTTGTTGCCAGCTAGTATAGTTTACCGAAGATAGTGAAACTCATCCGCGCTTGGAAAACGGTCACTTCAGAGGTTTGTATGGGTTGGCAAAAAAACCCAAACCCATTTCCATTAGGGATCGATCAAGCGGAGAAACAATTTTTCATCGATCGGATCAAAGTCTGCGCTTCCATGTTTTGCTGGGCCATTTCCATAGACGGAAAGTCAGTAGACGGGCGTTCCCGTTTGTTTTGGAAGGCGCTGCAGCGTTGAAGTAACTCCTTCATATCGCTATCAGCATTAGATCCTTACACATAAGATCGCGCGAGTCCCTTCATTCTCTCGTGAGTCCTAGGTGCGTTACGTGTGATTCTTGCATGATGTGCTATCAAGACCGGGGTGGTATGACCGATCCGGATCGCCAGAGCAGACAATTATCCTCGAGACTAAGCTCGATGAGTCGGACAAAGTACGGTGCTAGTTTCTGTCCCTTTCTGTCGAGCCATGCTTGCGAAACTAAGTGCTTGAATTTGACCGTTCGGTTTCTTAATGAATATCTGCGTTTAACCCCGGATTTCCGCACAAATGTTGAAGCAAGTGTACAAGGTTCACATGTTTCACTAAGCAATCTGGTGGGCGATTAAACAACAAGCGACTCAGAGTTACTGCAAATCTACGTACTTTCAAGGGACATGAGACATCTTGTAATTGTAAGCAGAGAGCAATGAAGCGCAACGTTAAATACGAGAGGAAGGCATTTGATTGATGGCTTTCTTCCCAAAAATAAAGCTTAATAGGAGTTTATGGTAAGTCAAAATTTCGAATGCCCTTCCATTTAAATACTAATGAACTTTCTTGACTCCATAGATAATCACCAAAGCCACTTTGTCCATCTGCGTGCAGTATATTTCCGACGGTGCCAAGCTCTTGGACGCAAAAGCGATGGGCCGCCTGATCATATCTGCCGTTTTTTGAGATAGTATGGCTCCGTGCCCTGTGGATGACGCACCGCATTTTGGTCAAACTACTTAAGCTACGGTCAACCTGACAACATGACATGGTATTCCTCTGAATCAAAGCACACAATGGCGCAAACATAGTAGCGCAGTTGAGTAATAGACAACTGTAGCGGGTCACTAACACAAGAAATGACGCAGTTCATGTCGGATAATCCCGAATATGTTGAATTTTTTCTTATAATGGATGCAATCCGTGTTTATCCAAGCGTCCGGTGGCCTAGTGGCCTGCACGTTTGGTTTGCAATCATAAGGTCACCGGTTCGAATCCGCGTAGGGGTGGGCGTCCTCGCGGTACACACAGCCCGCGTGCGACTGGTGGTCGCGCGGCAGCGAAGCACCGTTACGGCGTACAGCTGACAGAAGCCGTCATACGTTCGTAGCTTGTGCGATCAGTGACCAAAGTGTCATCTAAATAAGCGCAAACTTCCGGCAATTCGTTTTCTAAATTGTCCATAAATCCACTGAGAGATAGCCGGCGCAGAGTGTATCTCGAACGGCAATCGGTTAAAGTAGAATAATTTCAGGAAACACCGCATAGCACTAAGCGTGACTTAACTAAAATTTGGGGAATTTTTGTCCATCAGTCAGAGTTGCGTAAAGATGATCCGTCAGTAGAATGAGATGGTGGGCTTCCGTTTTTGCCTGACTAACTGTCACTTTGAAGTAACCACAAAAGCGAACTGAGCCATCAGGCTTCTGTACCGGAACGTTGGGCGAGGCTTAGGAAGGATGGCCTACAGATGAAATTATTTAGTCCTTTGGTAGGCGCTATAACTCCATCTTTAACTTCAGACGGATTGCGAAAGCTAAACTTCTCGTTTTGTTTACTTCGCTTCAGTGTCTAGTTTGATGGTGAAGAAAGCCTTGAAAGCGCGAAATTTCCCAGGTAGATTTATAACGAAAACACTAGCAGAAACTCCCAAGAGTGCAGGTAAGATCGGAATATGGTACGTCATTCCGATAGTATGTGCTTCACCTGTTTTAACAACGATTAAAAGGAGGGTCAACATGTCGATGCCAAGATTTGCTCTCACATTACACTTGATGAGTACATCGAGTGTTTCTCCAGTGTAAGAACGGAATTAAGATTGGGCCATAGTCAGAATCAGATCAATATGGCTGAGACATTTATATTATCGATTTGCAGGCGCATCAGTTGGCTTTCAATGCATAAATCAGCAGTTCATGATGGTATCTCCAGTAGATGTGATTGTGTGTGAAATCAGATCGGAGATGGATTCGTCATTGTTTTTCAGTGTTCGAACGGTACCTTGGTCAGTGTTGGGGATTAGTTGTTGAGAAACAGTTGGACGACCTACACGCGCAGCATGTCCGACTTTACTGCATTTGTGGTAACTCGACTGTTTGTGTGTGCAGTCTGTATGTTTTCAGGTTTTTCAGCGCATCAGTAGCAGGCATGTGAACGACTATCTGATTTGGAAGCTGGCTGTTATGCACCTCGCTTCTCTATATCAAATTCCCCTGCTCATGGGTACATCAAATTATCTCCGCCCTAACAGTTTCTAAATGCTGTGTCGTACACAGCTACTGTTGGTCGACGTCGTGTTTTTCGAGGCCAACCCCGTCTTCTGCAACGTTCGTAACTTGCAAGGCAGTGGAGGATAAGACGCGCTATATCGCAGTTAGCTTGTAAATCATGGCGGTCCGAAGATGTCCTCCGTGGCCCAGTGGCATAAGCTGCTGACTGGCGGTTCAAACCGCCGGTGGTCATGGGTTCGAATCCTGATGGATCCGATGGATGCACACTACGGATGATGTCCAACAGGCTGAAACTACAGTCTAGTGCTTTTCCGGGCATGTAGACGACCATCTGATTTGGAAACTGGTTGTGATGAATCTCAATGATCAGAGACTTGTTTGTTGATGTGTGACCGTCGGGATTTAAACGTGCGGACCGCATGTGAAGGCGTATCGCTTTAATGGTGAATTTATTGTTGCACAAGACTGTTCCATTATCTGATCAATGCACATACTCCTTCCCAAGTAACTCTGTTCTCGTCTTATGAAAACATACGTTCACTGGCTTTATCCTCATGGATACCAAGTAACAGAGACCGAACAGTAACTGTCTATTCAAACTTTGTGGAGAGTGATTTCATTATAGCGGTAGTCAGGAAGGGACTGTTGTATACGACAGATGAATTCTTTAACGCCCCTTCTTTCACTGTTGTAATGAGGGAGATCTTGGACGCGTAGTAAAAACATGCTACCGTGGTCCTTAAAGGAGTTGCAGGGAGTTAAGGCTCTGTCAGCGATGTGTTTTCTTACAAACGCACAAAATGTCTTTGACCTACTGCACAGTGTTGTCTCAGCAGTTTACCGGACTGAGTTTCATGGAGTCCGACGTGAGGATCTGGAAGTACGAAAAGCACTACATAGTCACAGGAAATACGTTTTCAGCGATTTCAAACTGCTAAGGATGTATTAGACTACGTGTTATTTTAAAAAGACTCCGTTGGGTTAAGATGGCTTATAATGCCAAGTTTGACCTCCGTCATCAAATGTCCCCATCTAACTAACGCTCAGTAGCTAGCTCGTAGCCGAATTACCGCAAAGCAAAACCAATCAGGTAAAAGTAGCTAGACTGTATTCTAAATCAGCGCGTTAAACAACACATCGACCATGGGTTTTAGATTGCTTCGATCGATGAGTGATTGACCGACATACGGACACTCGCTTGCAATTGTGGCCAGCCAATAGCAGGCAGACAACAGCAGTGAGCACGAAGACGTTAGCCATCAACCAATCGCCTTGGCCCAAAGTTAACAACCATGAGCTGCTTGGATGCCACCCCACTTTCGGACCGTTTGTCAATTAGGTATCAATAGCCTTGAAGGCGTCCAACAGCGTCACTCATTACGTATCAGGAATACGCGAGTGCGCCACAACTCTTTTCTGCCACGTAACTAGTATTAGATACCGCAAGCACATCTGCACCTAGGTGGGCTCAGACCGGCGACTTTTGGGTTAGTTAAAAAGAGGACGGGTCATCCCTTCGGCCAGTTGCCGAGGTGTGGTAGGTAACTCGTCGTGTGACATTAAAATTGAGTTCCCTTGTGATAGAGAACGCTTGCAATGAGAAGACTACTGCTTAGAACCCTGATACAAGTAAAAGTTAAGCAACAACCAAATTGCGACGAGGCACCCGGATCAGCGAGTGGGGGGACGAAGTGGCCTGACAAATGCCATGTAAGTTCGGCGGTGACCTAGTCGGGGGCAAGTTGTATAAAAAGTATCCAAAAGAGTAACTCCACTGAGAAAGCGGAGGGAGTCTGAAAACTACTGGGTTACGTTCAATAAGTCGTGCCGAAGGAGGTGAAAAGTGCGTCCAAGACACTGCATGATTCATCGAAAAAAGTCCGAAGAAGCTATGCGCGACTGTGGATAATAAAAAAGCAAAGTGCTTGGAATGGCTTTAAACCTAAGCGTTAAGGTAGGTAGGACAGACAAAATCCGGGAAAATGAAAGCCCACTTACCGATGAAGAATTGGAGATCAGAAGTGCCAAACTCAGCTTGCAAAGCTTCGATGAATTTCTCTCGAATACGGAATTTCTGTGGCAATGGGAAAACCATGTGGGTCGAATAAAAATGAATCACTAGAAACGTAGAAGACACCATAAGTGCTTCTGTGCGAAGGGGTGTGGGTGTGCAGTCTACGAATCCAAAGCCATGCTGACAGCTTGAGGACCATGTACGAAAAAATAGGAAGAAACAGACAATGGTTGTCGTCGAGTCGTTTTCTAATCAATTCTATGATTCTAAGGGACAACACAACTAATTGCTAATGAAAGTAAAACCGCATGCAAAAGAGAAAGACGACAAATTATACCACATAAGTGCCAAGAATAATAACGATGTATATGAATAGTTCCTACAGTGTGTGTGTTGAGTAGTAAGTGTTGTTTCTAATTCGGTGATTTATTAACTGAGCTGTTGCTTTCTTGACTCACCCCGAAAAAATCTAGGATAACTAGCCACTGAGTCGATAAAATTCAGGAAGCTCGCGATTCGAAAAACTCGTAGGCTTGGATTATGAGAACACATGGAGAGGAAACCGGTGATCCAATACTTTGCAGGAGAAGCGCTAACTGAGTGACCGAGTCTAATCGTCCAGTAGAAAGTTTTAAGTAACATACTGTTAGGCAAAAGTGGTGGTGCACTGAAGAAGAAACCGCGGAACACACGACGAATTGGTCGATGATGGACAACCTAGATGCAATACACCAGAACCTCGTATCGACGATTCACCGCTGTGCAACCATCCTCACCATTACCGTCAACAACAACAACAACAACAACAACAACAACAACAACAACAACAACAACAACAGTACACAAATCATTTAAATTAATGCCATGATGCCTTACAGCCACAGTGATCTACGGAAGCATAATCAGTGGGAGAAAAAGGGGACGGCGCAAAATCTAAACGCGTTAAGCATCATTCACCATCTTTCTACATGTTAGCTAGGGGTGAGAGACCCCTCAGCTATTGTCACAAAGCCCTAAACAAACATTTTAGGTCAAGTCGGCTGCACTTTGTCGACAATTTTCCGTCACAAACAGCCAGTTATCGGGTGAAGATGACGCGGCATGAATGAGACAGCTTCCCTGCGGCTTTCACTGCCCCGCATCATAATCCCCATCAAACCCAATGGAAACAGACAGTTGAGTTATTAGACCACTGTAAGATATATCCTGTAAAGTCTCGAGCCAAGGACGAAGCGGGTCACTTGGACTCCAGTCTGGAATGCGAAATAGACAAATGGTATCCAGTTTCGTCATCGTTGACTTCAATCCATTCTTCCAGCTTACCTTTTGACCATCTCGAAATTTGAGCTCCCCAAAATGAAACAACTAACACAAGGATATCATGAGGAGATGGTGCCTGGGCGTATGCAGGAATTGTTCAGACCAACGCGAACAGGAACATTGTTTGTGACGATAAGGAACTGGTCTGATCAGCATCGACTAACACTCGAATGAATGCGCCAATAGCGTGGACGTCAGCGTGGCGCATTCCGACACCAGCGATCAAACTTGATCTGGGATACCGCGAGATCACCGGCACAAAACAGTGATGCCGCCGTGCCGTTAATGAAAAAGAAGACTGTCGCCGAAAAACAAGCCTTTCGCTCTAACACCAACTTAGTTTATCTGACAAACCTTGATCCAGTTGCCAGAATCATGTCACCAGGATGACGATAAATAACAATGATGAGTATGTCGGGGGTGATCTCTCTCCTATCTCTGCACCCCATGACTTGTTTCGTCTTTGTTGGGACTTATCAGGTGGATATAGCCTGAGCTGGGAATGGAACTCTTCACACATTGGTTGGCGGCTATGGTCATGATCACTTGAGAGTTGAGCTCCGTGAGCGGCGCTTGATGCAACTGTTGGAAAAGGAGTTAGTACGCACAGACCTATTCAAATCAGTATTGGATCCTAAGTTTACGTTGGTGTCTCGGTGTCATACAGTCATAAATGAGCGAAGGAAGAACTGTTATAGGACTTAAGCCCATTGAGAACACCTTCCACTCAGAACGATTAGATACCGTTAACACCACAGGGTAGAAAATGGGTATTACATGAATATAAAGCGGTTCCATTGAGACGGTGTTCATTTGGTTTACATGCCCACGGCACTCAAAGATTGTCGGTCGGTAGCTCATAGGCGCCTGCCTTGTAATCCGTAGGTTATCAATGCGAATTTGCGAAGGTGCGGGCGACCTCGCAGTATTGCCGAACCAAGCGCGACTGTTAGTTGTCACGTTGCAGCGAAGCATCCGTACGACCCGTTGCTGATACCGTAAACACTACAAACAACTAGTCCGGTCTGGAAACTCTCTTTTGAGAACGCTTTGACGATTTCGACCTCATAATCTTGTAATATCATGGTAGCACCAATAGTGTCAAGTAAACCTATCCTGCTTCGGCACCAGAGGTGTAGCTAACAATCAATTGATTACGCAACAAGTAATAGTCGTTTCGTACTAACCATGCTACTGTCGCCCCCTGTGTCACTAACACAAAATATGTACAAGTCCAGAAGTGGATGATAAAAAAGATAAACAGTACCTGGTCGAAATTATAAAATTCCTTGCGCTCAACTTCAGAACAGCTTCTGCCAACAGGGGAAACATTGATCAATCCATTGCGAAATTCAATAAATGTGCCGCGTTTTCGCGGTAACTGTAGTTTTGACATATAAGCAAAGCAGTAATTGATAAATCTCTGAATTAAATCTTCTCCTAAGCGTTCGACAATATTCTTTGGGAGCAATGAAAAATATGTCTAAACTCGTACAGAACGATGTGTCTCTTCTCCAAATTTATGGACAACCAAACCGTTCTCGGAGAAAACGAAATCGAGCTTTTCCACAACTGTAACCACAAGCATGAAATAGGCCCGGTACACAAACCAGAGTAGCCACCAAGCTGAGCAGCAATTTTGTCATAAGCGGAACTGCTAACAATTGCAATCGAGACACGAGATTTCAATCGTAAAAGTTGTTCTAACATCTCAGGTCGGATTTCGCTTCGGGGTTTCGTTAGTGTCCCATCAAGATCGAAGAGAACAATAGTATTGGGCGATATCGCAGTGCACATCTAAAAAAATAAAAAGTGAGTTGAGAGAGGTTAAAATGCTGACTACGGAAAGTGTTGAAAGCAAATATTTAGGTAAAAAAATTGCGATTAGTGGATTCAGCATTTAAACCGGCGACAGTAGTTTCTCCCTGTGGTCAGACAATAAGTCTAATGGATACGCATGCGGTAGAAAGCCGCTGTCTCGTATCCGTGTTTTGGACACAGGGAATCAGAGTAACCTAGCGAACGATGCTACCTAAAATGATCCTTAAGGCTGGAAGGATAACCTGCTTTGTTTGTTAACGTGGTGGCATTTGATGATCGGTTAGCGAAAGAAGATCCTGGAGGTGACGAGCAAAGAAGAGTGGAAAGGTACACTAGCGGCATGGCATTACAAGAACTGTGAATACTGTGGATACAAAGCGAGAAGATATAAATTTTTGTTGCTTCATCGTTCGTGGATCCAGCATCTACATGGAAGCACATCGCTGATTCCTGAGCGGTGGCAACATCTTGCAGCTGCATTACATCTTATACGGGTGCGATACGTTCCTTATACCTGCATTCCGCAAAGTGGGCGTGGAGTAAACCCTTAAATTCCGACACCGGTTTCGCCTCGAGTAGTGTCTCCGGCAACTCGTTCCAATATTGCACCACTCGATGCTTGAAGCACGGAGGGTGAGCGATGCGCTTTAAACCTGGTACCATTAGTCTGTACTGGTGTCCGCGTGGGCCGCTTGGTGCGGGACCTTGCGGCAGCAGCCACAATATAGGGAAGTGGCTAAGGTGCAATATCCCGTGCGAGAGCAACTCGAGGCCGAAGATCTGACTGGAGATAAAGCCCTAGTCTCCTACCTCGGTCCTCGTACGACATGCCCCGTAAATGGGACGAAGTGGGGAAGCTACATGCTGGACGCGTTCCAGTCTCTGCACCTCACCCCTTGAGATCGGACAATGGGCGAGTGCGCCGTACTCAAGCACCTGTCGTATCATGGAAGAGAAGAGACGGGTGGTAACCTCTTCAGACCATGTGCAGAAGCTGCGTCTAAGTGCCCAAAGCAGGTGCGGCCTGTTTGCTTACAGTCTGTTCTTGTTGCCGACAGTCTTCCGGGCACAGCGTAGGACTACGCCTAGATCCATTGCGGAACTGGTGGTATGCAGCGAATTGCCGGCCAGGGTGTACGCACGCCCATTACCACCCCTACCCTAGGCTCAGAAACGAGGACTTAACCGAGTAAAAGTGCTCCTCAGCCGTGAATCAAACAGGGGCTTTCTACGTGACAGGCAGGGAACTCATCACTATACTACCGAGATTATTACTCGAATCTCCAGCACTGAAGCACGACTCCAAAAGGGGTGTAATATGTGGTTCGCTTGGGGGACTCAGAATGTAAATTTCATGTTAACAGTGCGATTCACAAGGTACTGAAGCAAAATATTTGGCTAAAGAACATAGTTGCAGGGCTCCACGAAGTGCTGTTTGGGGGAGGTGACATGACACTCCAGGTAGTTGCACGAGACGCGTAGTATGCAACCGGAATAACCTTTATCCGCCTTATCCGAACATGAGAACGTTAAAGCCTTAAAAGAGAATCCAAAGAAGGGAACTCGTTTCGACCAGCTGGAATGTAATTATACGGATTACCGAAGTTCAGCCGTTGGCCAAAATGATCACAAATCTGTTTAGCAACCCACCGGCGTAGGTGCGGGCGAACTGGTAGTGGCCATACTCCCCACGCGTAACCGATTTTGGTCGTGTGTCGGCGAAGCGTCGGTTGGGGCGCCACGGTGTACTATAGATGCTTTTCTGTACCAGTTCGACCATACGCATCTGCGAGTGATCTCGTGCTATTGTAGTCCACATGCTACTGCCAGAAGTTGCGAAGCTTTGAGGTGTAGGCAAGAGATTTTAGTGAACCGCGGATATCTGGTTAAAACTGTTCCAGAAGGTCCTCTGAGTACAA